TTTTAGGTGATCGAAAAATTACAATAAATTTCTCACCTAATAAGTAAAGCTCAATTAATCGCGAATCGTATGTTAAGCCATCGCCCTACGATGTCACTGAGGAGCGATTATGGTTGACAAGTACTCGAAAATTGTATCTTGCTTTAATAATTGCAGCATACTGTACTATATGTACCCACCCCTGGGGACGATTTGTCTCCAATTTATCACACACACCAACATTGCTTCGTGTTATTTTAGCGTGTAAAAGTGTGACGTGCATATGCATAAAATAAGCAGTAAGTTACAACTAGACTATTTATAGTATTTATGGTTTCATGAAATTCGCATGGTTTTCCATACATATGTAATAGTTTTGCCTACGGGCAGTAAATAAGTTGAAAATAAGTGCACTATAAATAGTCATCAATTTGTGCAAAATTTAATTTTTTATCATTTTTCGCATGCAAAATAAATTTATCTAAACAGGTGGTGGTGGTGCTTAACAATTACATAAATGCAATAATTTTGTAAATTACTAAATTTTATCGTAGTTTTATTTTAACATTCGTTATCAACTTGGATCATGGATACATTTATAGTTTAACTCCTAATAAGTTTCCTAATTTTGTAATAAATTTGCATTACAAAATACTTGGAAATACTTAACTTGCAGTTTTACTTTGGTCAAATTTTCCTGTACTAACCTGTAGTCTACTTACCTATACATATTTATGTCTGTACACTCTTAGAAATGGGGTTACGATTACATATAACCAAAACGTAAACGCATGTATGTAATTCTACCGCCGTGGTTATGAATTTGTCATCAACTGCAGGCCCCGTTCTAGGCAATGTGGCGCCCTAGGCAAAACCATAATTGCGCCCCACGTGCTCGCACCATCGGCGCTCGCAAAACAATGTTTTTGATTTTTTTAATTTGCGCTAAAATTCGAAAAGTCAGATGATTTTGAAGAACTAAGGTTGTGGCTGGAAAACAATTTAAAATTCGCGCCTCGCGCTGAAATCAGCGCATTATGAAAATACAAAAGTAAGCTTATTTTTTGTTGTGAACAAACTAAAATTGTATCTAGATCAATGTCATTTTTACACATGAAAGACCTGGAAAAGTTTAAGTAAACCGTTGTAACGTTAGAAGTAGCTCACCCTGTAATAATGATTTGATTATAACTTGCCCCAAAGGTGCAGAAAAATGCAACAAAATAGATACATAATTTTTTGCAATTCTGCACCAATGGTGCAGAAAAATCCAACAAAGTAGATCAATAATTATTATGCATCGAGGATGGTCCAAAAATTTTGCATCACTGGTGCAGAATTACCTACCAACGATCAACGATAATTTTGAAAAATTTATGTCAAAATTGTCTAATAAAATCCGCCGAGTAGTATGCATTATTGGTGCGTTATGCATCCCATCCCCCAATTATTTCGCATCATTTTGTGTTACCGATTGTTAGATATCAACTGTGCTATTTATTTACTAAAAAATTCGATTCGGTTTGTTCAATACCAATGGTGTGCCTACCATATTCAATAATTGTCAAGGGGATTTTTAATTAGCATCAATTGATGGAAAAAGGTCGTTAACCGACAGACGGACGGACATGAGGAATTCAATAGCTCTCGTGCTACGCAGGGCGAGCTAATAAGGGTTTCATTTCCGAGTTTTGCTGGACAAATTTTAAACTGTGTATGCTCAGAAATTAGCCGAGAAACATTTTTTAGCTTTCTAGAGTGCACGTGTTTTCGAATGTGCCGGAATTTTCATCCCAAATTTAATTTTTTCAAATTGCTGCTATTTTTCGAATTTTACACGCTTTAACAAATCAAGCGAAATTCTTGCTCACTTACTTCATTTTCAGGGACCCTAAAATTATATAAATAATTTTTCAACACTTTTAAAATTTGAGATTAACATACTACGAATATTGTTGAATCTTAATAAACCGCAAAAGTTTTTGATAATTAAAAGCGAAAAAAATGAATTTTTATAATTTAAACAATTCAGATAAAAAATTGTGCCCAATTTTATAAATTGGGTTAACATTTGAAAGCTTAACGAGTTTTAAAAAATGCAAGTTTTGCCTGAAAATTTATTTAAAAGTTCTGCCAAAGGTCAAAACAATAAAATTCAAATCAACGCAAATAAACAGGTACACTTATCTCAGAGGGTGGACAATTGAAAATTGCACGGTCAAAATCGTGGATAACCAGAACCACCCTGGATTTCTGCATTGCAAGTTTTACGAGGAAATTGCAAGTTTATCTGGCTGGATTTTCAAGCTAAAAGTAATGCACAACTGGCTGAACGTGTAGTGTATAGGGGTGCCTACCGGCGCCCAAAATTCTGGCGCCCTAGGCTGTTGCCTATAGCTAAAACGGGGCCTGAATCAACTGGTTATGAATTAATCAGCTCTGGTGACAATGTAATACCAAGTCAGTGGAACTTCTTAGTTAGTCGGTGGGAATTGTAACCACTGGATGAAAAATTTATAACCAGGGCGGTAGAGTCACATACGTTTACTTTTTGGTTATATGTAATCGTAACCCCATTTCTAAGAGCGTACCTCAGCGGGTGATGAATTGTTTCCAATTTATCAAGTAGTTTCAGCTATTTTATGTGAAGACTTTGTCCGTCTGTCTGTCCGTCTGTCCGAATCTCCGCCCGTCAGCAGGATAACGGAAGAAAAGATTGATATAATCGAAGTCGGTTTGTGGAATCATACATGTGACCTCAAGGGGAGGATCCTATCAACTCTTGGGATCAATCGGACCACACTCCCTGGTCTCCAGGGGGGGGGGGTGGTCGGGGCAAAATGAGATTTTTACAAAAATTGAATCTATCGATGAAATACAGTGAAATTGAGTGTTCCCGCGATGTCATGGGAGTGGTTGGGGTGAAGTGAGTCTGAGCTACTTCCGTATGCGCGTTTGCGACGGTTTATTTGAAGTGCACATATTTATATTCATACATACGTTAAATAAGTGTATTTATATTGACATTGCATGTATATGCCCCTCATCGTATTTATGTATGAGTAAATATGTACATATATATTTCTCATCGTGCTGTGCATTTACGTATTCATGAATATAATTATTGTCCAGTCCGAGTAGACTTTTCCTTATAAATATGTAGGTAGCCATGACCACGTCTGACGTCTGCACCAATAGATTAAGCACCAATAATTTTTAAAAATTAATTTATTTAACTCCGTATAAATACAGATTTGTATCTTTATTTCTCCAACAGGAAGATATTACCTCACTTTATTCACCTCGTTCGCGCAGTATAAATATTCGTACTCATATCGCGCGATTGTAAAATTATTGCATCATAAGCAGGCATTTTATTTCTAGATAGTCATACATCATTTCAAAAGTTTGGATACGATCCTTTAAAGTTAAGCCCAGCTTTGTTTGGAAAAAGTTATGCTTTCTATTCCCTTCATTTTTATCGTCGCGTTGGTGGGGGCGGTCGTCTACTATGTTTTGTTTGGGAGGAGGAAAAACAAAAATTCGTTAGCATTGAAAGGAAAATTTCCGCCAGGTGAGTTTTTTTTTATTTTGCGGAAAACTTAGCAAATTTCATAAAACCGTAAATTGTAAATGCGCTCTAAATTCTAAATTAAGTAAGCTACACGAAAGCCAGGGTAAGGGGAGATCAATAAAATTATGTCACGCAAAAAAGATCCCCCTCCCCCATTTAACATGTGTCGCATAGGCACGATATCATTGAATCCTTGGACCCCGTCTCGGGTGACATAATTTATGGACCGTCCCTAATGTAGACTTGATTACATAGAAACAAAATTTACTCTGGAGTTAGTGTAGTTTACTAAGTTCAGAGTGCACATACATATTACCTTCCAAAAAGGTGACATAATTTTTAAGAGTGTAAACGATAAACATTATCCCATAGATTTAAATTAATCGTATTTTTATTAAATTTAAGGACCTCGTGGACTCCCGTTTCCTGGAAACATATTACAACTCAGTAGGATAAACCCTTTCCTCTTCCCGCCCAAGTGGGCGGAGCAGTACGGAGATATTTATTCCATTTCTATGGCGGGAACTAAGTAAGCTACATACTTCGAAGGACATAAGTGTAAATTTTTTTAGCTTGTCTCATGTACGCTTTGTAACCTGGGAAAGAAAAATCCTGGGGTATTGCCCTTAAAAACCATAATTACCGACAATTCTGCATAATTATGCATAACTTTGTATGTATGTAAACACCCCTCTGCCTACAGTGCCTCTGCACAAACCCGTATCAATTTTTGACAGACAAGGCTGCAAATATGTTCATACATACATGATAAAATTTGTTAAAATGTTCACTCCGTAATTTTCAGAGTTTGCGTGATCTCCGACTTTAAAATGCTGAAGGAAATGTTCTCCCAGGAACCAGCTTTCACTGGTCGTTTCAAGCTCGGTGGTGATAGTCTGATTACTGATTTATATACGAATGGACAAATCCATGGTGAGGATTATGCAAATGGCCCAATGCCAAACATATGCATAAATATTTGCCAACTGCATCCATACCTTTTCAGTCAAAACCCATTAATTCCTATTTTTGATAGAAGATTTTCATTTTATTTTTAATTTATTTCATTACATCGGATTTTAATTCTCATTTCGCCCCATATATTAAAAAAAATGGAAGGAGTGAAAAATACTTTCATTCACAGCAACTCATCTGAAATGAAGGGATGTTCCAGTCATTCACATTCAAATGACAGGAAATTCATTTTCACTCACTATCATTCATTACCAAAGCCGGTCAAATGAATGATTGTGAACAGGTATGCCTGCATATACCACATGTCAATTTGCTACCTAAATAATTTTCTTGAAAAGGTATCGTAAACTCGGGAGGAAAGCCGTGGGAAGAACTTCGCCGTTTTACGATTCGCCAATTGCGAGATTTCGGTTTTGGCAAGAGCACCATGGAAGCCCTAATCATGGACGAGCTTAAGGAGCTATTGGACTAGATGAAATCCACGGAGGGTCAAGTAATCTCAGACATCAAGGACAACATGATCGTCGCTGTGGTCAATTCGTTGTGGATGATCATGTCAGGGCACCGGTATAATCACGACGATCCCAAAATATTGGCCTTTTCGGAACAATTGACGGAGTAAGTTATAAATATCGACCGGAGTACGTACTATGTACCAGCCCTGGTAATACCGGGCATTACCTATCAATAGATGAAATTAGGTGTTCCCGCACTGTCCTGGACGTTTTTAGGGTACAATGAGACAAAACAAAATTGATCGTTGGGGTGAAATGCAACTTGTGTAGAAATTAAAAATTTATGGGTAACGGAAATTAATCAATAAATCCCATCCCTTCTAATAATTTATTGAAGCTACTTTTGTACATATGTGAACTTGATACGTTTGATGACTTGAATTTACTTAAATACATTTCAGAGTCCTTGAATTAGCCGCGGAAGGTGGAGGAATTGTTTTATTTTGGCCCTGGTTGGAAAAATTGGGATACAAAGGCTTCACCGCGTTCCGGAATTACACCGATAGAATGAAAAACCTGTTCACTCAGACGGTCCAGGAGCATAAAGAAACATGTGTAACAGACTTTTCAAGGTACACACACTCTTAATAACCCGTGATCCATACATGATCGGCATAGAACGGTGTGCATATGACTTGACGAAATAGTGTCTTTCACTGACTGTGTGAATTAATGGTTACAAACATTCATTAATGTATACCAAATGTTTATAGGGACTTCATCGACGTTTTTATTAAAGAGATCAACACCTGTGAGGACCCCGGTTCCGCTTTTTTCAAAGATGTCGGAGGTATTTATTCAACTTGGCAGTTTTCATTCGTTAAGGGCTTGCTTATAATTGGGGTCTCTACTTCTCCTATTTTAAGAACGTCAACTCGTAGCAGTTCTCAAAGATCTTTTTGAAGCTGGGGCGGAAACAACTTCCGCGTCTTTCTCTTGGGTCTTTTTGTACATGGCGACATTTCCCGACGTACAGAGGAAATTTCAGAAACAAATTGACGACGTAGTTGGAACTTCGAGATTTTGCAGTTTGTCTGATAGAGCGAGGTAGAGATACTCCATAAAATTCGATAGATCGACAGTTTGGCGAAAAATCATTTCGTCAAAACCAATTATCCAAACGAATAGCAAAAAAAATTAAAATTAAAGTAACGAATGACGAAATAATTTTTTGTCATATTTGGGGAAAATGGAAAACTTCGAAAAATACGTTTAGCAAAACTTATTTAGTTCAATATTATGTTTATGATAAAGCATAATTACTCATTAAGGTATCTTTTTCGCCAAATGCGACGTTCTTTTTCACCAATTGGTAGAGCCCTTCAAAATCCAGTAAAAATGAATGAATTATTTTCGACAATCTTGTGTTCCGATTTGTTTTGCCAAAATAGTTTCTGCCCAACTGTCAGACTTCAAAAAACTCAGTAAAACGTTCAATTTAGAAAAATAGCATTTCACAACCTCTTCCAATTTTTTGAAATATTTTAAAAATTACTTCAAAAATCCCACACAAACTTAACTTATGGTCCTATAAATAATGGTTCCTAAGGATGAGGAAAGGTTGAGTGGCTCCTTAATTTGTATAAACAATGAAAACTTAGGCTTACCTCAACCTCATCCTGACCTTGACCTCAGTTGAACCTTAACCTCAACCTCACCTCAACTCTTCCGTATAAATAATGAAAACTTAAGGTTGACCTCATCCTCAAAACTTGAGTTTTCCTCTCAATTTTCCAGGTACCTCATGTAGCTTCCTTGAGGTCAACTTACATACAATTTTCGCGTTGTTTTTGTAATTAAAATACTATTATTATACAAAATGTCACTTTCACGACTGGTAAATTTTGATTATCGTCGTGAACGTCAAATTCGGGTTGCAAAAATCCCTCTGACCAGACTGCAAGATCGACACAATCCTTTGGAGTGGTTCAATGCCGTCGAATTCAAAATACGGTATCATATGTACAAAGAAACTGCAATTTTTGTTACGGACCTCATCAGCCAAGACTTATCTTGCCGGGTGCCAAGAGGTGTACATATTCCTCCGATCATTCAGTTCTTGACCGTCCTTCGCTTTTTTGCCACGGGGAACTTTCAAACCGACAATGCAGACTTGCACCAGATGTCACAACCAACAATCTCAAATTTAGTGAAACGGGTTTCAAAAGCAATTGCTAAATTTCGTAGTCGCTTTATCCAATTTCTAAACTTCCAAGAGGCTGATAAAGTGCAACAGGAATTTTATAAAATTGCTGGATTTCCTGGTAAGCTGATAAACACATTGCATGCAAATATTAGAGATAAAAACGTACATTGTGATAGGAGTAATTGGGAGCATTGACTGCACGCATATACATATTATTTCACCTGGAGGAAATGACGCTGAGCTGTTCAGAAATAGGAAGGGGCGCTTTTCAATTAATGTGCAAGCGACTTGTGACGCCTCGCTGTGCTTCACAAACGTGGTCGCTCGCTGGTATGAGAGTGCCCACGATTCACGGATTTTCGAGAATTCCCTGCTTTTTGACGATTCGCAGGATGGGCGAGTTCCAGGTTTGTTGGTCGGAGATGGGGGATATCCTCTGCTACCTTTCCTTCTGACCCCGTTTGAACCGCCACGGACGCCGTCAGAACAGCGGTAATTTATCTTGCATTAAATAATACAAACTAATAAATATATTAACTTATATATTGACTAAATAGATATAATTATGCTCAAATTCGAACACGCAACACCATTGAACGGGCATTTGGAATTGTGAAGCGGCGCTTCCCTTGCTTGAAGAAATTGCGCATAAAATTGAAGACCAGCTTAGTTGTTATCGTGGCTGTGTCGATTCTTCACAACATATGCCGGTATTACATTAATATATAATTTATTTCCGGTAGAGAACAAGTTTAACAGGTTTCGATTTTAGTAGTAAACGCTCGGATATATACGACAATGATCGAGTTGAAGACGGATCAAGACGGTGATTTCACTGGCGAAGAGAGATCAAATGGAAGGTGTACCGGTTCTGGGCGACTGTTTAGATGTGCATTTGTTGAACAACATTTTTAGTCATGTTTTTAATTTACATGTTGATTATTTACTTTTTGCGTACATACGACTATGCTTTGCTGCCCTCCATCAATTTCAAGTTTTGAAAGTAAAAATTTCACTTCAAGTTCATGTTTTTGAGTCATTTGTTTAATTTCCAATTTGGTTTTGTCCACTCGTAATTGTTCTGCCTCCTGTGCTAGTGCCAATGTTTTCATCCGCAAATTGTGCTCTTCATATTCCCAATCAATCAGAGAAGACCTGGCGTCACGATTTCTACACTTCTCTAGTAGTAGGGTAAAACTACATCATTTATATAAAATTCGCAATGTTATGTACAAATAAAAATGTTACGTTTTTCTACTCTTTGGTGGTTCGATCTCTTGGCCACGCTCTTCAATGTTGTCGATATCGAGCCCAACCTCTTTGCGTTGCTCCATGATCCAGGCGTCACAGTCAAACTCGTTCTCGAGAGGTTTCATTTGAGATGGAATAATTGATGCAACTTTATCACTTACGTCGGGAACAGGCGGAGGGGGTGATCCACCTCCAATTTTACGTTTCTTTCGTTGATTTTCAGAAACCTTTTTACCATAATAGAGCAAGAACGTATTAGCTATAATATCATTAACCATCGAAGCTATAATTTTAAAAGAACTATTATTACACACATCCTTCTTAGCTCGAGACTTCAGATTGTCCCATTTTTTTTGTAATTGACTTTTCGTCCGTGCTGTGACTTCCGCCGAAGAATTAAATTCCGTCGTGAGTTGATCCCAACCCTTCCTCTTTTTCTCCAAATTGATAAAGTCGGTCTTCTTATCCTCTAGGATTTTCTTTTTGGCTTCAACGAGGGAGAGAAGTAGTTTTATTTCGAACGTCGTGAATGTTGTTCGTTTTGACCCGGTGGGCAAATTTGTATTGGTTGCAATACTTTCACAATCACTATCTGACATTTTATTGTTCTCGAAATTACAAGAAATACTGCAAACCCGCTTTAATTGAGTTAAATTGAAGTTAAAACTGATGAATGCGTTATTATAATAAACAAAAAACTGAGCGAAAACAATAGCAGCTGAGTTGATTTATTGAAAAACACGTTTTTAAGATATGAACTTTTATAAATTGTTTAGGGACTTTATCGACGTTTTTCTAAAAGAAATCAACTCTTGTGACGACCCAGAGTCCGCTTTTTTCAAAGATGTCGGAGGTATTTATTCAACTTATAATGGAGGTCTCCCAAAGTACTTATGATCACAGATGTGGGGCAAACTAGGATCAATCGTCACAAATATTTATAATTAGCATGAAATTTGCAAATGGCACTATCTGCCGCGCAGGTTTGGTAGATATATTTGCACACAGAGCGGGAGAAATGCATAAGAAATTTGTAAATTGAAAAATTTATCAGCCTTCGGGGTGCGTTTTCTCCTCTTTTTATGCAAATATCTAAGCTAAACTTGAGCATTGGCAGATGGTGCCATTTGCAAATTTCATACTAATTATATTCGTAATCGATTGACATTAGTTTGCTCCAAATCTGTGAGCATACATACTTCTGGAGACCGCCATTCATTCGTTAAAGGCTTGCTTAATTGACGTCTTTATTTCTCCTATTTGAAGAACGGCAACTCGTAGCAGTTCTCAAACATCTTTTCGATACCGGGTCGGAAACAACTTCCACCACATTATCTTGGCTATTTTTGTACATGGCGACCTTTCCGGGAATACAGAGAAAGTTGCAGAAGGAAATCGACGACGTAGTCGGAACTTCGAGGTTCTGTAGTTTGTCGGATAGAACGAGGTATGCAAAATTTGTATATGCAAAAATAAGCAAGAATTGCATAAGTAATGCGAAAAATTCAAATGCGTCATGCATTTTTTTACACTTCGAGAAAAATGTCCAAACTGTAAAATATCCGGTAGAGTTACTTATATACTGGGAAATAGTCTTGATGTGGTAACAAATTTCTACCGGATTTTTATAGTTCGTTTATAACCGGTAATTTTTTTTAAATCACGAAATCACCAAACGGTAGTACACGGTATTATCTGTGTACCACACCGGTAAAATTATGCATGGATTTCAGTAGGTTTCCTAAGAGTGTACATAAATTTGTAAAAATTCCAGAAATTATTTGAAAATTGCCTTCAATGACCTTAACCTTTATTCAAAATTGTTGCATCTTTTAGCCTACCTTACGTCGAAGCCTTCCTTGCCGAAACGCTCCGCTTCTCCAGCATCCTTCCAGGCGGACTTGGACACCGCACCCTGTATGACGTGGTCTACAAGGGTTACGCCTTTCCAAAAAATACGCCAATCATGGCAAACGTGTACGGAATCCATTTCGACCCCAAGATCTGGCGAGATCCGGAAAACTTCCGGCCAGAACGATTTCTAAGTTCGGACTCCAAATCGTTTAAGAAACATGAAGCCCTGATCCCATTTTGGATCGGGAGACGTCAATGTGTTGGGGAAACTTTGGCGCGGGATACACTTTTTCTCTTTACGACAAATATGTTTCAACGATTCCAAGTAAAGTTTGACCCGAGTGATGCCGCTGCCAATCCAGGACTCGCACCGAAAGCAGGCTTCCTTATGTCATCGCTGCCTTACAAAATTATCCTGACAGATAGGTTGTCATAAGCGTATGTGCATGCCTACCTGTTCTAAAGAAGTTCAAAGCATCCCAATTTAAAAACTTTAAAAAAATATTCATTCACGATTCAGTAATTCAAAATAAACATTTATTCATTATGCCTTATTCATTTCTGATTATTTTATCTCAAATTTGACTTGTTAGATTTATTTCTAACAATGCCTGATCGATTAACCGTTGGGTGAACAATGAATTAAATTATCTATTCATTCTAGATGCACATTAAATTTCTAGTGTAGACCCATAGTTGTTTGAAGCACTTCCAGATTTGTTTGTTATGTCATTCACTATTTCTACATATATTATTATGGTAAGCATGCAACCTCGGCCAAAATTTGATTCCCGCGTTGGTGTCCCTACCACAGTAACAGTGTGGGAAGGGCGCTAGCACGTCGAGGTTGCATGCTAACCAGGGTCCTTTGACTGTTTCCTTGGAGGATTTCTAGACAGGGTCATGTCAGTTCAAAAATTCTCCAAAATTTTTTTTTACAGATTTTAAAGTTTGGGAATATGCGCTATTTTTGCTGGGAGAGTTTGGTTGTCAAGAAAAATAAAATATTTTATAAATCGTCGTAAAATGACAACGAATTAATTTAATTGCAAATTAAAATAGTCATAAAATAATTGAACTAGAATCGGTATCAAAAACGCTACCTAAAAATTTTTCGCATGCATTTATGACGTTTTATAAAATATTTTATTTTTCTTGACAACCACACTCTCCCAGCAAAAATAGCGCATATTCCCAAACTTTAAAATCTGTAAAAAAAACTTTTATAGAATTTTTGAACTGACATGACCCTGTCTAGAAATCCTCCAAGGAAACAGTCAAAGGACCCTGATGCTAACCATAATCTATATTATAAGCTGGAAATGTCTGTCGGGGACGGAAGTGAAAGGAATTTTCCGTGACGGAAGTGAAAGTGGAGAAAGTGATTTGCACATCAACTGTTTTGGAAGGTTGATAAGTCAGTTATCCAGGATTTGCTGGTTAGCTTATCAGGAAGGGAATTTAACGGAAATTATTAAGCGTGGTTGTCGCTCTGCTGGGGGGAATAATTGGTTGTGTCCATTTTGGCTATGGTTATCGCTCTGCAGGGGGGACAGGATGGGTGTGCCCCCCTGAGATATGGTTATCGCTCTGTTGGGGGGAGTGGGAGGGTGTGTCCCCCTGGGATATGGTTATCGCTCTGCTGGGGGGAGTGGGAGGGTATGCCCCCCTGGGATATGGTTATCGCTCTGCTGAGGAGGAAGCGAGGGTGTGACCCTCTGGGATGTGGTTATCCCTCTGGGGGGAAGGGGTACGCCAGACATTATTGGGGAAATTTGTCTATTATCCCAGTTTTAGGTGTGAAATTTTGATGAGGTCACTTACCGAAGGGAAATTAGTTCCTTTGCTCCGGATATTTGAGGAACATTCTGTTCCGTCCAGGCCTATTCAGGCCCATTCCGAAACCAGTGACATAGATTTCGCTATGTGTGGATGACGGGAAGGAGAACGGATTCCGTTCCCTTCATGGGTAGACCATATTCATATAGGATTTAAAGATAGATTACTTAGGCTACACATAAGGGAATGGAATTCCCTTCCTCTTCCATTCCCCTTGGATATACTTCAGGCGCAGTAGGGAAATCTTCACATCAATGGAAGGGGAATGGAATTCCGTTCCCTTATCAGTTATCGTTATGCTGAAAGGAATATGGGATGCAAGATATTAGCTCCGGAGTTTGCCTATCGAAAGTGGTTACACCCCCAGTGTTGGGTGTGATATTTTGGTGGGGTCAGGCACCTAAATGAAATCAGTCATTTCATATTTTTTCAAGACTCCTGGTGGACCATATTACTATTGGATTGTTTAAATTGCAAGATATTTACTGTTTAGCCGATACAGAAAGGAATGGAATTCCCTTCCATTCCCCTTGGATACACTTCAGGGGAAGTAGTGAAATCTGAAGGGGAATGGATTCCGTTCCTTTCATGTGTGGACTATATGATAGAAGGAATGACGGGAGTGCCGGACATTAGCTGGGGAGTTTGCATATCGAAAGTGGCTGCACCCTCAGTTTCGGGTGTGATCTGTTTGTGGGGTCGCGCACCTAAATGGCCACTACCTCTGTTTGATTTTGCCGCATTGGGATGTCGTTATCACTCTGTTGGGGGTGTGCGGGAGCCGCAGTGAAGTCGTCAAACGATGATGAACGGGAAGGCTTCCGTTCCTTCCCTCTTCCCGTCGGATATACTTCAGACGAAGTTGTAACATCTTTGCATGAAGGGAAAGGGAACGGAATCCCCTTCCCGTTGGATATACTTCAGACGAAGTAGTGACATCTTTGCATGAAGGGAAAGGGAACGGAATCCCCTTCCCGCTATTTCATATTTTGTCAAGACTCCTTTCCCGCTCTCACTGCAGCTTTACATAAGTAACATGCTGCTCCCAACGACAGACAAAAACACAGTAGCCGCGGAAGGGTGGGGACAGAGGGACGAGGGAAAATGTCCCCGCGGTTATTCAATGTTCCCATCGGCTGCCCATGTTATACACATTCCATTCCCTTCATGTGCAGACTAGGTAGATTTAAGGAATGGAATCCGTTCCGTTTCCATTCCCTTCATTAGGGAATGAGGCCTCCGATGAATTACTCAAATCTTCTACTGGAACAGATTTTGAAATCTGAGCATGAATATAATATCACACGTGTTTTGACATGCCACACACCAGTGACCGCGTGGACCAAGTCAAATGTCACATATGTCGAACACGTGTCTTTGTAAACAAAATTTGAATCGGGTACACCAATATGATGATTTTCCATGGATCCATTCTTTGAGCATTGTTGAGATTTCATAAATATTTTAATTTTCTTACCATCCACTTCCATCATCAACTCAAACCATCAATTTCACGTTCTTTGCAAATTCCTTTGACTTTCGTCGGTGACAGAACTTGAGCTTATTATATAGATTCATGTATTTAATTGGTTGACGTTTTCCAAAATTCCACTCAATTTTCATGAAAATCAAATAAGCTGGCGCCCGGCGGAAGACGGGCTTATACGCTAGTAATGTATATACGTAAGCTAGACTTAAAACAATCAAATTATATGTATATACATAGACACAATTTTTTTAGCAATAACTAGGTGGTTGATTTTTAGCACCATATCAACCATTTTAATTCACCCACAATTTCACTAAAAGCAGAGAAGCAACCGCACCAACGTCCTCTTACAGAAGCATGTTATTACCAGTGGCGCTAAGATATCGACAAAGTTACTGCCGAACCGGATCTTCATCGGACAACATGCATTGATCGTTCGTCTGAGGCATGTCATATCTTTCCCGTTTTGCCGGACAACGTCATACATACCTACTTTAAGCTTGGCCGTGGTCTTCTTCGAAGCCTTGTTAACGAAGCCCGCCGTCGTTCCTAGACCCATGATGACAACAAACGTTTCCAATGCGAGCAAGGGAAGCAACAAATTTCCTATGTTAGAGAACAATTCTTCATTGAACTTAATGGTCAAGTAGGCGCCAAGGATGTTGACGGAGATGGCGTACATTAAAATTGCTGGGAGGACGAGCTGGCGGAAACACAGGTTGATCTGACCAACTAGAACGGACAGTTCCTTATACAGCTTTACTGCTGTGTCCAGATTATCCGTATATTTGAATTGTTGCAGAATATGGGACCTAATTATTTACAATACACATAAATAGGTATATACCAATCTAAAATAGTTATTATTACGACGTTGATTAATCAATGCTTACTTTGTTAAGCAGGACAGATATCCAGCCACTGAGAGCAAGGTTCCACTGCATACTGGTCCAACCATAATGCTGAATGCGACCGGTACTCCAGCCGCCAAGAAGGCTTGCAACACCAGCGAAACGGCAAAGATTATCCAGTGACCCCAACTGGACTCGATATTTACCGAGATAGACCCAAGAAACGAAGGAATTTTAGATTGATACAAAATGATGGCAAATTGTGTTATCGGTCCTGCTGTTGATACTAGAGTTGCTGCCAGACTGCAAAGTTTAACTCGGTATTGCCAACGCTGAACCCGACTGTTAGGGCAGTCTGTTGCAAACCAAAATAATTATTATGATAGAGAATACCAGAAAAGACTTAAAAATTACCATTTACTAAAAACATCTTGACTCTCATTCAAATAAAGCACGCATTACTTACCTATTGTATTCAAGTACCCCTGTTCAAATTCCATCAGCATATTCATCAAGTCCACGTACGTCCTTGGATCCACCAAAAGCGGAAAAACAGCCATAAACCCGGTCGACCAGCCAATCACAAACGCGCTAATAAACACCTTCTTTGAAGAACTAAGCATCCCAACAGGGGAAAATGTGATTGTGTGAATCCCATTTAGTACCACCGTGATAACAATACATGTTACCAGCCCAACCTTAAACTTTGACTGCCTTCTTTCAACAAACTTCTTCCTTTCCACGTCGTACAAAAGCGGATTGAAACCATACAAGTCTAGCAACCGTAGATTTAAAATCATTAGCTGAAGCCCTGATTGAAATACCATCCTAGTTAGAAGATCTGAGCGAACCGTGTCTCATTGATGGCTACTCCTTGCACTTGGCGAGAATGATAGTAAGTATGAAAATAATTGATTTGAGGATCATACAAGTTCAGGGTTATGCGATTAAATATACATATATGCATACATGTATCAAGACGTAGCTTGGTGGTATGCTAACAGTTTGATTAAGTATTAATAATTTCTGCTGACAACTGCGGAAAGCAAGGTAAGGTCAGAAATACTGGTGCATATGTGCATACGTACATATTTTCAATCGTGTGAATCTAACCATGGATTAAGATTGTAAGGTTATACTAGCTCCTGTCCGACCGTTGTGTGTATAATAATTACAAAACGACGTTTCGGGTTAACTTTACATCACTTTCAAAGCATACGTGGTATGAACATAAGTATTTATTTATAGGCCTCAATTCATATATGTACGTGTGTATATATGTACTAGCCTGGAAATTTATGTACTTAATCAAATATGAAATGATAATCTGAACCATGAATTATTTAATTAATTTCGCTCAAAGACTAGGCATCAATCGATAGAGGCGTTATTCGTATGTATGAAATCAGAAAAGCTAAAAACTACACTCTTAGAAACTGGGTATTGATCTCTGAAAAATTTTAATACCGTCGTGCTGGTATAATCACGCAATCACGAATGGGTATTAAAATTTTGCGAAAAATCAATACCACGAGCTTGTACGTGGAGAGTATTAACTTGTAATACCGAGTTGGTAAAACATCAATACTGACTGGTACAGATTTTATACCACGTTTACCCAGTCTCAAATCAGTCCGGTATAGATTTGTGCGCGAGATTTGCAATGTAATCACCTCACACTTGCAGTTGCAAATCGTTCTCTTTTTAAAAATAAGTGCTTCTAAATTATTTCGGCTAGGGAATTATTTGAGGGGAAGAAATTGACTATTCCGCTATAAACTTTGACACGTTCTTATTAAAGGGTAAGCTTAAATTTATTTTTTCTTTTCGTTTTATCTTTTGCTACGTATTATATTAATCGGAAGGATTTTTAAACCACCAATTTCGTCATAGTGTCTGCTTTGTATTAATTAAATTGTTTTATATTTAGCGAGATCATCAACTTAGCCAATTCCGAGTTCCGGTCGTGCATATAGGATTCCGGATAATTTTAGGTTGGTGAATACATTTACAAATCAGAATGACTATTGAAATTAAATTAGACATGTGTAGATATTCTAAAATATTTCAACTAATTGACATTTTGCTTATCACTTATTTCAGTTGGATATTTCCTATCGAATTAGGAGTAAGATAACTTTAAATTGAAAAATATATAAAAATAACTGCCTCAAAGTGTGAATTATTTACACAATTTATTGTTTAAATTGCTTGTGCGTTTAGAACCAGTCAGCTCAACTCTTCCACATTATTGTTTGTGAGCCAGTTTCATAATTAAGTTATTCCATTATATTCCATCCAGTTGATTTCCATTTTTTGTAAATATTTGTCATTTATAATTGGCTGATTTGTAATTTTATCAAATAAATAACGTTAAAATCAATACCAACCAGTACTAAACCGTTATTTTTCATACTGCATGGTATCAATCATCAATACCGTATTAAGTGTTTTAATACCGCTGTGTCTTAGGTTGCTACCCTTCGGTATTAATAAACAATACCACCACGAACAAAAATCAATACCGCAAGTGACGTTTTTATACCGTAACGGTATAAATTCAAAATAATACCGCTTGGTATTAAATCAATACCAAAACGGTAGAGTCACATATGAATACCGCGTGGTATTGATCTGGTATTGATTTTTCTAAGAGTGTAGTTTCATTAAGGTTTATGGATTGAAGGTAAATATATGAAGGCAAATAGTGATCCTAATTTCCGCCAATTTTCTGGATAGATCGACTCCCGATTTGCCAGCACCGTCGGCCCGTAGTCGGGATCCGTGCTGGTTTCAGATTTAAGAAAACCGTCGGCTGAGTGTCAGTTTTGGCCGCACTACCTCACGTCGCAAGCGCTCGGCAGTATGTCGACGGGCCAGCGTCTGCTGGTAGCATGCGATCGTATGCTTTTTGTGTGGTGCCATCAACGGCATGCATATGGTAACATTCTTGCAATGAATACTTTACACACTTTCCCGACAGCAATCCGCATTATTATCATTTACATATTTATTTCATAGTATGAAGTAATGGTACACATAAAAAAGATTTTCCATACGGCAGAAACATACATTTGTGACAAATATCAGTAATATTAACACTTATAACATGTTTTGACACATTTGCTAAAAATATACCTATTGATAAACTATTAAATGGATAATCAGGTAGTTTCCCAATTACTTCAACTTTATAAAAATCAGAAATAAATTCATTTACATAACTTTTTAATATAACATACCGTCCGTCATTTAAGCAGTATATATTATCATATTTAGATTTTGTAAATTCATTCCTTTTCGTTTTCACATGTTGGTCAATTTCCACTGTCATGGCCTCCTTTTCTGCTAACCTTTTCGCTACTTGACTCAAATGAAAATTATTAGAATGCAACATTCTTTTAATTGTCTGCATGAAATTTTCAAACGGAAAAGCACTAATGTTTGCTAAGTTTCCAAAAAGTAAGGCGTCATCGGAAAGATGAATCAGAGAATGAACGTTGTATACCATAAATTCTAGTCCATAAATTATTTCTGCCTCTTGTACAAACTGAACCAGCAATGACTTAGCCAAATGATTCCACGAAACTATACTCGCGTTTGGCGATAATAAAATAAACATTGCGGATTGTAGTTTTAAAAAATGTTTAAACTTTTCAAGCGGAATTGAATCGTGAAATGCGGAAATTCCGACGTACAGTACTTTACGTGTAACCCCCAAAAAAACTAAGTGCATGTGGTCGAGAACCACCTGAGAAACTGGGCCTAATTTTAATTTTATTAGTTCTGTGTCGCTTTTGTGATGATCAGGGTCATTCTTAGCTAAAAAACTTGCGTCCGTTCTAAGCGGGCAGTTAATTTCTCTAAAAATTACTCTACCTAACCATTCACCTTCTTGAACACATCGTTCACATGAACTGTTGTGCTGCTTGCACCCTTTGATAAAACTTCTTGCGGGGGCGTCTGCAATAATGCAAGAAATTTTGAAGTTAAACTTTGAGATACCCACAATTAATCCTGTTTGTTGTAATTTCAAAGATTCATTAACAAATTCTCGTAAAAATTCTGTATCAGTCGGTTTTGATGTTCCATAAAACAAGCCTATAATAAATGGATAACAGTTTTCAATTTGATCGACCAGGCCAATTATCGGCCAAAATTCTTTCTTACTACTTCTACTAATTGGCAGCCCATCAATTCCTACTGATATTGACACAACCTTGTTTTGACATTCATTTTCAAACTTAGAGATTATTGGGAAAGTGCAGCTGGTATAATTTTTTGACATTCGTTTAACTACTCCTGCAAGAATACCAAAATACACAAATTCTCCACCAGATAGCTTTTGCACGTTAATAACTCGTGGGGTTTTCATTAAGGTTCTCGAATCGGCTGGTAAAATATTATTGACGTGAGGATTTAAAATACTAAGTAAGTCCTTAATTGCCATATGACTAATGTAATGTTGTGACGCCCAAACTCTAATACTATCTGTTAAAGATAAACTTGGTAATGGGTCGGCTAACGCTTCACTATTTAGATTTACAATCGTTTTATCAAATATGTCAGGATCTTCCTGTGTCATATGTATATCTACGTTAACAGGATTGACTACTAATTTTGGAATGTTACTATCAACTAAATTATCATTACCCTTAATTAAACTTAAAATACGATTTTTTTCATTACGGCGATAGCGCCTCTCCGTCCGTGCTGATTTCTTGCTCATATTTAAACGTTATGATGGCGACGTGCCTCGCGACCCCCACATCGGTCTCCAGCGTTCCGCAACCAATTTTTAATTGCTTCTTTTATTTCGAATTCTGTAGAGTTTTCATATCCTCGATTTGATCTCACTCCTCCTACACAAATTTTATAATTTTAGTATAATTATTCATAGTTTGTATGAAAATAGTTTGTTTCGGTTAATAAAAACTAATTCCGATTTACTAATAATTGCAATTTTGTGTAGGAGAGATCCCTTAATTCCACAAACTGCTTTGCCTCCTTTCCCAGTATAGCTGACGGTAATTGCAAATTGATTTGTAAAAATCTCCTTCATCACACTTGCTGTAACGGATGATACACTGTCCCCGCCATGAAGACTGAGGAAGGTAACCTTAACATAAAATGAAAATTAATCTTAATTTATTCGGTTCACTTGAATAACGATTCAGTTATTTTATCGGTACCATAGATTCTTGATTTTTCCCCAAAAGCAGCCAAATGTTGAGAGCATGAAGATCCTCCTTACATGTCAACGGAAGTGGCGGTGCCCCTTCCAATGAGAAATTCGGTGTTGATGAGGGACCCAGATTCAAACTCTTTAATTTATGGCTTATGTGAATCAGCCTATCAATAACAGCTTCTTGGAACCCTGCAAAAACTTACATGAAGTGCCATTTTTCGTGGAAAGAATGTTTAATGGAAAGAATGTCCTTACGTTCGTTTTTTGCCTGATACTCCTTCAACAATGTAATGATAGTTTCGGCGCTGGGAAGTTCACCTGATGGCATAGGTGGTTCAGGTGTGAGTTGGTTTGTCTCGAGTACAAATCCTCCTCCCCCCTCACTCTCAAAATGTTGGGGAGACTTGGCCTGATTAATCGCTAAAAAGCATTTTAAAATTCCACATTTTAACATGTAAATTCGGATATTTTTTATATTAATACTTTATATCGAGTGACCTTCGGATTGTTGTGCCACTGCAACAATTTTGAACTCGTCGATATTTGTTAAGTTAATCGGATTATCCTTTTCAATTCCAAGACTTGTGCTGGGCGTTTCATAAGTGTTGGCTAGTTTGGTTGACGTCTTTTTCTGGCTTTTTAAAGCTTTCTGTCTTCGCAAACGACGCACATCTGCTTCCTCCACCGCTGACGACTCCAAGTTGGAAGTCTCTTCGGCTCGAATTGAGGCTTCTCTTGCCTTTAAGTAATCATCTGAAATCGAATAAAATCTTTTTAAATTCATGAATAAATTTTATATTTGCACTAATAGAGATGAATATGTAATTTTCTAAACTTACCAAACTCACACAAAACACGACACGAGCAGACTAGCCACGTGGAGGATGGTTGGACATGACTGATAACCAACTTTGCCAATTTCGCTCCTCGAATACTATGCGGTGGATAACGACAAATTTTCTCGCCACCTTTTTGATCAGGAGTCATGGACGGAAGAACCCACGATGAAGAGATCACATCAATACAATCTTCCTCATCAGGAAATAACACTACCGCAAACTTTGTCATTTTTATATTTGTTAAAACAATAAATAAGTTAACTTGCAATTCACCAAGTCGAGGGAAAATAATAATGCACCAAGGCAAGGAAAGATTATAAAGGTGCGGGCAGTTTGTGTAAAAGATGTAAAGAGAGCGTGCAGATGGCGGTGGTGAACTTAGTTTCCCGCAGGTGAACCGTATGCCGAAAGAAGGATTTTTACGTCTGCATATATGCTCGGCAAATTGCATACTGGCCAGCAATGGTACTGTGTAGTACTTATGCATCCCAGGTTGACTCCCTGCCGTATGAAAATAGTGTGACGGGAAATACGCGGCAGAGGGGTGGCAGAATTTACGCAGCTCAGCCGTCGGTGCCGTTATAATGCCGATGGAATTTAGACGGTGCATGGCAAATCGGGGCTATAACAGTCTAATATTTAATTTATTCAAAATCATAAGTGAATGGATTGACACATACGTATGTAACTTTAGCCACATTTTTAATTTATTTCATCTCATTATGAGATACCGACATAATTTCCCAAGCCCAGATACATAAGTTCAACGACTTATTTATTCGCGTATGCATTCTTAACTTTACCTATGACTTTTAACAACATACATATGTACATCCATTCCTCTAGTATATCAAATGCATATACATGTATGTATATGCAATTACGTATATACGTATATCGGAGATTTCTCTTATTTGAGTCAAGTATATCTGCATACCTACAACATACATACATACGCATATTTATTACCATCACCAAATATGTCCTTATTTATGTAGGTTGTGAGATATTCATGCTTCCAGTGTTTGAAAACAGTAAACATTTTCTATCTATGTATTTGTGTACATACATAAGTCAGTAAAGAGTAAGAATTAAATGATTCGACAAGCAGATCCGCCGACTATTTCAAAAGTACAAATACTCTATTGGATTATGTTCCCCACATGAAACGAATTAAAACTTAGCATTTTTTCGGGCGCCAAAATTTCCTTTGGGGGGTTATGAGAATAATGGGAGATAAATGTGGTGCACATAGGGCACAGCATATCTATGAAATGGGTTGATGAAATTTCAAAAACAAAATTTTGTTACACTCTCTGGATCAGTACCCCGATAGGTTTTTCGAACTGAGGTGGAATTCCGACTTTGAGGGGCTTTTCACAGCGACGCAAAATTGACTCAGAAATTAATTTTTCGCTATAACGAAAAAGTATGACGAAATGTTCATACATTAGCTTTTCACCAATTTTTACTACGTTGCAAATTATTAGTAGTAGAATAAAGGTTAAATTACAAAGAAAGTCGAAATCGACATGCGTGACCTTTTTCGGGGATCGAAAGGTCACAATGTCAAAGGTCACATTACCCCATAAATGGGGTATCGTTGGAAAGGTATTGGCGAGGGGATTCAGAATATGTATACTTTGTTGGGTCTGAAACCACTCCCTGCAAGTCTAGAGGCCAAAGAACGAAAATCGGCAGTTGTCCAGAATTTAACACAGCAGTGGATTGGGAGCTAACACGGAAGCATGCATGGGAAAAACTCAAAAATATTCTTTTGGCTCTTTGTTTGCAGGGAGTGGTTTCAGACCCCACAAAGTATACATATTCTGAATCCTCTCGCCAATACCTTTCCAACGATACCCCATTTATGTGGCTATGTGACCTTTGACATTGTGACCTTTCGATCCCCGAAAAAGGTCACGCAGGTCGATTTCGACTTTCTGGGTAATTTAACCTTTATTCTACTACTAATAATTTGCAACGTAGTAAAAATTGGTGAAAAGCTAATGTATGAACATTTCGTCATACTTTTTCGTTATAGCGAAAAATTAATTTCTGAGTCAATTTTGCGTCGCTGTGAAAAACCCCTCAAAGTCGGAATTCCACCTCAGTTCGAAAAACCTATCGGGGTACTGATCCAGAGAGTGTAACAAAATTTTGTTTTTGAAATTTCATCAACCCATTTCATAGATATGCTGTGCCCTATGTGCACCACATTTATCTCCCATTATTCTCATAACCCCCCAAAGGAAATTTTGGCGCCCGAAAAAATGCTAAGTTTTAATTCGTTTCATGTGGGGAACATAATCCAATAGAGTATTTGTACTTTTGAAATAGTCGGCGGATCTGCTTGTCGAATCATTTAATTCTTACTCTAAACAAACATACTTAAAGCGTATGTACATACCTATGTACATACGTTGAGATTCTCAACTTGAGAATATATAGATAACTCCATTTGCATATGAAGAAAAGGTCACATCGGGTCACATCTCAATCATTCAGAGCCAAACTTGTAACCAAGTCCAAAGTCTTGGCTCGTACGATTTAATGTCATTAAAAGATCCAATCCCACTTAGGGGCCATTCATGTATTATGTCATCAAAAACTCTCAATTTTGCACCCACCCTCTCAACGTGTACATTAAGGGATAAGGATGTTTAACATAAGAATGACAGGAATTTCTAAACCACCCACTCACTAAAATGATAGCGTAATATATACACGTTCCCTCACTGGAGACTTATATCAATCGAGGTTATACACAAAGAATGCTGTTCATGTATCATCACATTTACATAAATACTTTCAGTTAGACCATAAACTTCACATTGTAGATTTTATGTACATCAATTTCGTAGCTATAAAATTGTTTTAGGCATAATGTTTGCACGTTCCTTTTTTCAACGAACTGGTTACAAAATATCCAGCCCAGTTTCAGTCGAGTTGAGAAGATTGATCAGAAATCATCCCTTTTTGAGAATGTCTTCATCCACAAATTTCTCGGAGGCGGTTGCAAACTCGAGCAAAATTAAGAGTGCGAGTAATGAGGAAAAGTTGAAATTGTACTCGCTCTACAAACAGGGAACGATTGGGAGGAATCGAACCCAGCAGCCGGGAATGTTCGATCTAGTCGGAACTGCGAAGTGGGACGCGTGGAATTCGTTACGTGACATGAGCATGGTTCGATCAAAAATAATGTACACTCTAAAGAATAATGTTATGTTTTTCAGTAAATACAAACGGTCCGAATTCTATACTAATCCTAAGTAAACTGGATAATGATGCTCAAACTTGGAGTACGATAAACTTGCTAAAGAGCAAAGTTTACATACTCTGCTTATATATTAGTGCAGTTTACTTAATATAAAATTAATTGTGTATTTACTTTCGAAAAGTGTAACATTATTTTTTAGGGTGCAAGGTTTGAGTAAACTAATTATAGCGGCAATTAACCATCAATGTGCTACATGGCTATTAGATATGTACATACATGTCTGTAATTATGGTAATCCGTACTCATGGTAAGTTCGGCTGCTAATTGTGGTAATTCGTGGTATAATTTCCAATTTGCAGCAATTATTTCGATTTTTTGTTGATAAAATTTGCAGATTTTGTAGTCTTTTCCAAATCACCTTTGATGATATAAGTTTAGCATTCTTAAATTTAAATTTTTATTTATTTTGATTTTCCTTCTAAAATTTCTAAAAGCAAGGCGAGGGAAATCTTTTTAAACAGTTTGATATGGCTTGCACATATTTTTAGGACGACGCACAAAAAAACTACGTCACCTTAGTTAATGGACTGCTCGGGGTGAAAATTGATGACGGGGAGAAGATTTATTCTCAGTCGTCTGGACCCGTTTTAGTCTCAGGTGTGAATAGGATTCGGATAATTACTTGGAACCGGCCGGAGAAAAAGAACGCTATGAATGAAGAAGTTCGTGATATGCACAATAATTTGAAAATATGTTTGAAACATACACTCAAAACAAAAATTTGTCAAATCAACACCGCCGGTGTCAATATATGACTTAACCGCCTTAAGTACAATATTGAATCCGAGTTATGATGATTTTGATACCGGTCGTTGTAATGTTATGACCGGACGGAAAAATTTCATTACCACTCGGAATCACAATTGTAACCAAGGCGGTGAAGTCATATATTGACACCGTTTTGTTTTGAGTGTAATATGTAGTTAAAAGCGGGGGTCTGCCAGCGTAAACTCTGTAATTTTGAGCCAGAGCCAGAGCCAATCGATCACAAATTTAATTAGTATGAAACTTAGAAAAAAACGACCTCCAAATGGGCCCCTTTGATAGATTTGCGCATCCGAAGAGGAGAAAATTAGCGTTATGACACTAACTTCGCAAAAAAATAGAGTTCACGCTGGGGAACAATGATGGGATGGGACATTTCCCTCAGAAATCTTACCTTTTTCATGTTAATAAGCCACCCCTCCCCCTCCAATCTCAAAATTCTAATGCCCCCTATGTCCCCCAGCTTCAGATCATTGCAACTAACTTTCAGATGTATGTGACCCTCACAAAACTATTGCGCGATTTCAACAATGATGAAACTGTGGACATTGTCGTCATCACCGGGTCGGGGGACTACTTTTGTAGTGGGAATGATCTCGGAAATTTTATGAGTGTTGACATGAACGATAAGGAGAACGAGGTGAAAAAATGGATCGGAATTATCGAGTAAGAACGCATATTTATATGTCCTAAATTTGATACTTGACCACAATTTTTTGTAAAATGTGCACAATTATGAAAAATTACATTTTGAATTTATAAATTTGAATTTGAAACTTAAGGCTTAAGTGTACAGCAGATGTACACCAGTTGAGACGAGAGAGGTGCCAACTCGTCTCATTCGGGTGTACCTCTGCATTTTTCTCTCGCATGGGAGATGGGGCGGTAGTCCAAAAATGAGAATAAAAAATCGAGAACAACTCGAAAAAAAGATTTGCCACTACTACGAAAACGTGTGCGAGCGCGTCCGGAAAATGGTTTATAGCCACTTCAAAAATGAAAAAATTTATATAGGGACAATTTGTAGAGTTTTAGATATGTATGAGGAGAGCAGGAATGCTGAATTCAAAAAATTAAAAAATCGTCCTGCTCGTGTAGCGACCAACAAAGTAATAGGTGAAGTTCAGCAGGGATGCCAAATGGGTCAGTTTAAAGATTCCTTCAAATACACGATGAAGTCAAAATTCCCCACAATGCACATAATCGGGCAAGCATTGGACTCATTGGGGGACGTCTCAAAGCCGTTCGTGACCACAGCCACCATGACCTCAGAGAGATATCTGAACGATTGTGTAAAGAAGATCTTGATCCACTTTATCAATAATCGTAATGTACTCTTCTGACCGGACACAGCAACATTTCATTATTCAAAAGTTGTTCTGGACTACCTGCGGTCGAAAAAAATCGATTTTGTTGCAAAAAAGGAATATGCTCCCTACGTAAGACCAATTGAATGATTTTGGGCATTATGCAAGAGATAATATAGTCGTCGATCAAAACCAGCCAGAAACTTGGGAGGATTCCGTCAGATTTTGCCACGCACCTCAAAAGAGGTAGCGAAAAAGAGTGGCAAAGCACTGCTGGCGACCGTGAGAGAACAAATTCGCCAGATATGAAGGATGGGGGTCTATGGCTCGTATCAAGCAAAAAATTGAATGGTCGAGACCTTGTTTACAATCCCTGAAAATTTCTTTGGAATTAATTAAGTTTTTTGGATTTTACTGGCATTTTTTCAAAAGTTTCTTTCTTTTATAATCACATCCTAAAAGTAAATAAAACCCATGCAAATTAAATGCAATTGATACTTATAATAATTAATAATGGGTCAGTGTGTAAAATGGGCGAATAACAGGACTTAATAATAAATCTACAAAAATCTGAGCAATTTTTAGCCCCAAAAACTAAACCTTCACACTTCGAAGATAATCATACCACCACCTGTCGCGGTTTCGTGGCAAATACTTGGCTTGGCAAAGGATGTTTGCACGAATTGCTTCCGAACAATTGAGCACGGGATCTCGGTCAGTGCGCGAAGTACGGGGAATAAATTTAATAACACAAACCCAATGAATAAATATTCCACGGGTGGAGGCGGATTTCAATTCCATTCGTCGTCGTCGTCGCGATGCGACAACGCGATTCCACGAATGACTAGTAGTGGTACTACGACAAGTAGTACCATTGTAATTATTATTGTATTACCAAAAATTTCCCGTTATGAAGTTTATGAACATCCTCAAAACATGTACAATGTAAAGTTTTGAAAGCCCTTACCACTGCAGATTACACTAAACAAAGTTAGTTAAAATCTATCCTCCAAATATGTTGTGAAACATGCAGGCGAATTTGGTCGTGAAGTGAACGTGGTCTAAAATTCTTTCCTGCTCTGCAAGACTTTGTTATTGTCAGCAGGCAAATTCGTCTCTCCACCAGGTTTTCCATGTCGGGGGCATGATGAAACGACAAAAATTCAGAGTTTTTCACAAAAGTTTCAAAATTGAAGCTATTACTATTTCGAATGACCTGTTGTTGGTGTCGTTGGATTCGTAAATTTATGCTTCGTAGTGGGATGAACTCTCATCTAAGAAAAAAGGTCACACGGATGTGCAATGACGATAATTCCTATATTTTATATCTTAATTTATTTCACATCCGCGTGACCTTTTTTCTTAGATGAGAGTTCATCCCACTACGAAGCATAAATTTACGAATCCAACGACACCAACAACAGGTCATTCGAAATAGTAATAGCTTCAATTTTGAAACTTTTCTGAAAAAACATGCACTGTATATTTAAGTGGAATGTGGCAATTCCTAACTTCCCCACTACAGCGCTCTACTCAAGTGTATACTTCCACTTTAACCACAATTTTTTTAATAAAATGTGCATAATTATTCCAAATTACCTTTCAAATAGTAAAGTTGGATTTTAAACTTAACCACAATTTTTTGTAAAATGTACAGAATTGGTGCAAAATTATATTTCAAATTTGAGAAACCCCCAATTTTACAACCCCTCCAAATTGATTTTCCAACAATTTATAATAATTGTAAAAATCTAAAATTAATGTTTTCTCCCCGTTTCCAGAGACCATATCGCGTCTTACATCGACTTCAAGAAGATCTTGATCGGAATTGTGAACGGCCCCGCGGTCGGTCTTGGCGTTACTTCGTTGCCCTTCTTTGACGCGGTTTTTGCCACGGAGAGGGTAAGCTAGATTATGGTGCTGGCATTAAAATTAAAGCCAATTCTTGCTGAGAGGCTCATTGGCCGACCTCGTAATGCTTAATAACATTGGAGACTAAAATCGGCATTACTTTACCAATTGTTGACCGATTTTCAAAATTGCGACTGTTTTGGAAAGATCAGGTCAATTGGCGAAATATATATTTCCAGATTTTTCAAATTCGACCACACCCCCTCGAAATTAAGGTCACAATTGCAAAAAATACATAAAATACAATTGATGCGTACACCAGAATTTGAAAGAACAAAAATCGAGTTGTATGTCGAAAAAATACCTCGACCCCCTGGGCACCCTGAACAATGTTCAAGGGGTCACATGCCCCACCCCCAGGGGGTGTGACCACAGGCGCCTTTTCGATTTCAATGAAACCATGTCATGTGATTACGACTGAATACTTAAAATTTACGAACCACACCCCCGGTGGGTGTGGTTCTCAGAAATTTTTAGATCTGAATGAAACCATGTCATGTGATATATCATTCTTCTCAACCCGATGAGGAGATTTAGAATGATTAACTACGATGGTTGAGTCCATGACTTCACATTCGAAGCCAGAAATTTGGGGCACAAAATTTGTACCAAGGTTTAAACACCTAAAATAGAGACGCATCATAAAATTCTGGCAGAAATTTTTAAAATTCAAAAATTTCAAAATTTGATCTGGCAATTCGGAGTTGGAGAAAGCCATGCTCATGCATTTTAATCTAAATTATGACGGAATGCTTAAGCGAGAATCTGTACTTTTCCCCCTAGCGAGGAAAATGCCACGGTAAAAATGGAAATTCCCGCTCATAGATTCCGTCATAATTTCGTCTCAACTGAGCAATATGAAAAATTCCGAAACACGGGGTATAATTATTAATCTAATGCTATATAATTATCGTGGTTTCGTCCAAATCCGAGCGAGACCACTGGCGTCATCGAATTGTCAGTGTATCTACGATTTCAAAGAAAAATTAAGTCTAATTTTACTCAGGCGCATAAAAAATTTTCGGGCGAATCATTAAATTTAGATACCACGACCACTGGGTGAAGAAAAAAGTTACCCCCAAATCCATGGCTTCCGCAAAATTAAGAATCATGTAGACAACCATAACACAGTGGGGTATGCTCCCCGCGGACCACGAACAGAGGGGGTGTGGTTCGTAAGTTTTAAATATTAAATCTAAATCTCGTCTAGCTGACAAAAATGATATATCATATGACATGATTTCGTTAAAATCTAAAAGTCGCCGACGACCCCTCCCACTAGGGGCGTGGTTATTAAATTTAATATATTCAATACAAATCTCCTCATCAAGTTGAGCAGAATGACATATCACATGACATAGTTTCGTTAAAAGCGAAAAGTCGCCGAGGACCACACCCACTAGGGGTGTGGTTTTAAAATTCGAAGTATTGACTCCTAATGTCCTCATCGTCTTGCGAAAAATGATGTATCACATGACATGGTTTCATTGAAATCTAAATGTTTCTGAGAACCACACCCACTGGGGGGTGTGGTTTTAAAATTCTAATTACTCTGTCGGGGTCCCCTCGTCGAGCTGAGAAAAATGATGTGTCACATGACGTAGTTTCGTTAAAATCGAAAAGTCGCTGAGGACCACACCCCCTGGGGGTGTGGTTCGTAAATTTTAAGTATTCAGTCGTAATGTACTCATCGTGCTGAGAAAAATGATATATCACATGACATGGTTTCATTGAAATCGAAAAGGCGCCTGTGGTCACACCCCCTGGGGGTGGGGCATGTGACCTCTTGAACATTGTTCAGGGTGCCCAGGGGGTCGAGGTATGTTTTCGACATACAACTCGATTTTTGTTCTTTCAAATTCTGGTGTATGCATCAATTGTATTTTATGTATTTTTTGCAATTGTGACCTTAATTTCGAGGGGGTGTGGTCGAATTTGAAAAATCTGGAAATATATATTTCGCCAATTGACCTGATCTTTCCAAAACAGTCGCAATTTTGAAAATCGGTCAACAATTGGTATAGTAATGCCAATTTTAGTCTCCAATGCTATTAAGCATTACGAGGTCGGCCAATAAGCCTGTCAGCAAGACACAATCTAAATTGGCTTTAATTAAAATGCCTGCACCATATTTGAAGTAACGGGGTTGAATGAGATATACATGCAAGGGGTCGTGCATAAATTACGTTGCGCGGGAAATATCGCACAAGAGAATGGGGGGTCTACCACGTCGAAAAATTGTTAATCCATTACTCATAAGTTGATGGAATAATGAATGAATATTTCATTCACTGTCTACTATGTAAATATATGAATGAATGTGAACAGCTATGGTGTCCCAAAATTGTTATATTTTTCCATTTTCGCAGGCAACATTCAACACCCCGTTTACTGCACTGGGACAAACCCCAGAGGCTTGTTCGTCCTTCTTTCTCCCACGGATTATGGGATACGCTAAGGTACATATTAAAGTATCTAAATAAAGGGTGTTGATTTAATTCGTCCGGATTACTCATTTTAATATTTGCAAAATTGCACCTCAAAAACCATGAGAACTTCGACGCCAAGTTTTTCATAAGATTTCATCAGTTTTAATTATTTGATATTTCGGCAATTTATTTATACTAATCACCCGTATCTTATACCGATGCATATTTCTTCTGTTTTGACTTCGCCCAAATATTCGTCGAATTCTAGTATCGTAAACATATCTTGAGTTCCCCCCCAAAAAATATCGGGACTAATTTAATCAATGCCCTTTAAATCCTTAACTATGACTACATATGTTTGACAATAATCATCTGACCAGGCCACCCAGATGCTTCTCTTTGGCACGAAAATTACTGCACGTGAAGCCGAACAATGTGGCCTAATTACAGAAATTTTTCCTGACGATGTTCTAAAATCCAACGCGTGGGATCGCATCCATAAAATGGCAGAACTTCCAATAAATGTAAGAATATTCAATTGATAAATAAATACAGGCAGGTATTGATTTATCGGTATTAAATTTATACCGGTCAGCAAAAAATTCCTATTGATATGACAAAGCTTTAGTACACTCTTAAAAATCCAGTATGAAGGTAATACCAGGCGGTATTCATGTATGACTCTTCCAACGTGGTATTGATAAATAGTACCATGTAGTAATAGCCCAGTATCAAAATTTTGCAACAATCGTATCAAATTTTAACGGACCGGTATAATTTTAATACCAAGCGGTAGCAGCTTTAGTAACGAGAAATCAATACCTGCGTGACTATACCGGATTTCTAACGGTGTTCGGAGCTATTGCTACTCGGAATTATTTGTATCTATTTATCAATAAAAATTTTGGACGGTCATCTAAATATTAATACCACTTGGTATTATTTCAATACTGGATTTCTAAGAATGTATGTAGATCTTTTACACGTTTTGAACATAATTTGGATGTTGAATTGTAAATGTGCCCCCTAAGTAAAACATTATTACCAATTGGTAATAAATTGATTTATTACATTTTCTGATAGGCCCTACTCCACGCCAAGGAACTACTTCGAGGAAGAGATCGCGACTTATTGCATCACGTGAATAAAACCGAAATGGTAAGAATGAAAGAACGCGTTAATTCTGAAGACTGTATGGACGCAGTTCTCAAGTTCTTTGCACGAAAGACTAAAAAGTAAAGCCTTCAAATTAAAAAAAAAACAAAAGTTTGATTCAACTTATTACTTATGTATGTATCTATTCATACTTGTAATAAAATACTGCTGTTTCAATTCACTATTTTAGTCACCAAATTGTGATTACATATGTATACATATATGTACGATGGCAACAACCCGAAATGTCTGAAAATAGGAAATCCTTATGAAGGTCTATGTAGGGATAATTACTTGGAGTCGTTTTGAAAACCTGGCGCTTTATTGCTTCCAAACGCCTCATCGCGGCCGACAAATTTTTATCTAATTTTGTACACACAACAGAAGTGCCGTGTACAAGTTCGCCATAAATTTTGCAAACACAGGGGGTGTTGATATAACTCATCCCAATTCTTCCTGTGAATATCTGTAAACTTGTAGATTAATGAACGTCAAAACTTGATCAATATGTGTATCAGAGAGACATGCCTGGGTAGTTTATGCTAATCATGCCATTAACTCATTTCCTTTGATTTTGCGCTAATTTTCGTAAATTTGTGTCCGGTTCCCCAGAAATCCATCAGTACGAAGTAAATGCATATGCCATCTATGCATATATATATGTTTGTATCTATTTATCTTACCATTAATTGTGCTCATGATTTTTTTCAAGTTTGGTAATTAATGTCTCAACTTTAACCAAATTCATTAAACAAATGCATTTTGCGGGTGAACACAGCGAAATAAATGCTTATATTGGACAAGCAAGTGAGTTTTACAATATCAGCTATCCGATCGGATAAATTGGAAATCCTATCCTATCCGATATTGACTTTTTAAATACATCTTATCTCGAATAAGATCGGCAGACTAACTGGCCAATTGATTCCATCTTTTAAGGTTTATCTGTTTCGGACAGTTACGCAAGGGTCCCAAAAACATCCTCAAACGCCAAGTTTCCGTTTTTATCACGCACATTTATTATGTAACTCTTTGTATAACTTTTGAACACTATTTACCAAAATTGAATAATTCTCGTTATCTACATATATACACACATACATAAAAAGGCAGGCAAACACATATGTACTCATCATGCTGTACATAGATTGTTCCAGTCCCAGCTTCAGCTTTCCTTACGGACGCCCCATATATACTGGAGGGTATTCGGGCTGATGATAGTCATGCATTGTTATCTTTGGTGGACGTTTATCATTACGACATTGAGAACTAAAAGCACCACCAAAAAGACAGCCAGTATCCTGAAATGCTTGCGACGCAATCGATTGAGATCTATAACCCAAATTCCCATGCCGATTCGCAACGTAATAGGCAATCAGGAATGAATCCATTTGTTCGTGCCAGAGATCCTTCCGGCACCCTCCACGTGGCCAAATATTTTGTTTTCCTGTACGATCCATGGGTTTTTCTATTTTACAGAAAAATAAATACCCATGGATTAGTTATTACATATTTAATATTATAAAGGTTAATCCGGTCAAAACTCTGCTAGACTTATGTACATGCGGGTCAGCAGAAGGTTAATTCAGGGTGGTGTTACCGTAGACCATAACATTACTAAATGTGGCAGCCCTAAGTACAGTGCTGGTAAGTAGAGTCATGTAAATACATATGTATGCCTACATTACGGTCAGTAATGGTTTTATACCAGTTTTCTCAGAGTTTACCTCTGGCGAATGGTAAGATAAAATCGTTGGAAAATAATAACGTACTCGTACCAAGAGACGGAACTGCTATGCACAAGTTTAATAAACTTACATAACTTTAATTTATAAGGGATATCATCACCTCACTCATGACAAGATAGTGATTTTTATTTTATGACAATTTGGTACAGAAACACTGGGAGTGTAAAGGTGAAAGTTTTTTTCAGACGAGGTTTTCATACGAAGCGCATATGTACACACATTCGCGTATAAATAATGCTACCCTTCTGAAAACTAAGTACATACAATCCGAATTATAGATTAGGTAAACTATACTAATCAGGAGTTACGTTTCCTTGAGAATGAGCTTAGTCTGGATTTATTATGGTATGCTTAATATGGAATTTTACCTGCATTTATATATACTCTTCAAAATGTTATATTGATTTGTAGGATGTCCATAAATTATAGAGGTTAATAAAATGCGTTTATTTTACTGATAGTATGCTTTTCTGCTAAATTATGTTGCTTAATGATACAATTTTACCGTTTAACAAACTTCGCTCGATGCCAGGGAATATTCCAATATTAAGTTCGCCGTTCAATTTTTCAACTCGTACTGGAAGTTCAATTCCTGTACTAGTCGAGATCATAATGACTACAAAAATTTGTACAGTGATCTGAAATTACAAAATAAGTTAATTAACTTTAATCGGTATAACTTCACCTTCCAAAAATTCAGATGCGCAAAAATAGGATCAACAATTTAGCGTTTTCTCTAAGGAGGAGGCACCCTTCTTATGGGAAAACTGCCTGCCGTCGAATTTTCTGAATTTTTGATATGTTGTAGACTTCGATGTGCTGAACAAAAGTCTCCATACCCCCGACCCCAGATTTTCGCTGGTTTGACCTCCAACAGAGGTCAAAGGTCAGTATAACTTGGCCATAACTAAGTATATGTAAAATTTTACAAATTTGTCCTGACGTCAGTTGTTGATGGATTTTCAAAATTCCGGATGTTTTGGAAACGTGGGACCGTTGGGCGAAATATATATTTCCAGATTTTTTAAATTCGGCCACACCCCCTATATATTGATGTAATAAAGTATAAAACTGAGATTAATATCTCTAACTAATCATTCAACTCCACATTGAAGTTAAGACAGCATAGTTGCCGATTCTTTGCGTAATTGATTTACATTGTCATGTCATCGAAAAATAGGTCAGAGGGTCACACCCCACTCTAGTGGGGTCCCTGTGGGTGTGGTCCGAACAGGAAAAAATGTATAAAGTCGGTTCCTAGTATTGTTTCTGAAATTAACTATTGTAATCGAGGGTAATTTTGTATGTCTGCCCCACTTGTACACCATGACCTTAATGTGTATGGCGTAGGGGAGAGGGGGTGTGGCTTTTGGCGATTTTGCGACAGTTTTATCAATACCTGGCTTGCGGCACATCATTTTTCTCAGCACACAAAGCCGATTACGACCGCTTGTTCAAAATTTCAAAACCACACCCACTGGGGGTGTGGTCATTGTCGACTATTTCAATCCAACGCAAGTATCTCATGCGACATATCATTTGTCTCAGCGTACAAAGCGGATTAAGACGGCGTATACAAAATTCCAAAACCACGCCCCCTGGGGGTGTGGTTCCTGGGAACTATTTTATGCGACATACCATTTTTCTCGGCGCCCAAATGCGATTAAGATGACGAAATTAGTTTTCTTGCCAATTTTTAAAACTTTATCTTTTATAAGCAGGTTATATCTACTCGGTGTGTGTCTTGTACCCAAAGCGGATAAGTTATAAATTGAGATGGTCGGTTGATGGCTTTGTTTGATGCCGTTAGAACTATTTTGATCCATCGTTATGAGGAATGGTTTGGACACCTTTGCTGGTAAGGATGATTGTAATAACATGATGGCGCAGTACTTACGTTAGTCAGTTGTCATCTGCATCATCAAATAACTCCGGAGCGTCTCTGTGGGCAGCATCATCGATAATGCCTAGGAGACTATGCGATGGAGCTTGTAATTTATCTTGGTGTCTTGCCCAGCCCATGAACCAGAGTACACTTGCAATATGCGAACAAGTTCCCAAGGTGCGAGCCCCTGTTTTGCACTGGCAATACCAACCTTGAATTGGATTTGGAAGAGGGTGTGGCAGTTGCTCTCCCGCTAAGGCTTCCTCAAAGGGTACCTCGTGGAACTGAATCCACAGTTGGTATTTTGCAGCTCGAGTGTGTCTGAAAATACAATTGGAATAAAAAGTAAGCTTACTTGATCAAGTTATTTACAATATGATGTAATACAATTATTATCAAAATTTCTACCTGGAATAAACTTGAGCCCTTAGAAGCCCTGGGCTTTCGCGGCTTAAATCGAAGCGGTACTCGCCGTCCCTTGTATTCTTATCCTGGACGTAAGCAGGGGCTAGCTTAACCTGGTACTTTCCGAAAGTAAGGTCGCGTAGATACTGCAGCGACAAATGTGGGAAAGCTGGTAGATGGTCTGAAGTCATAGGGAACCATTGAGTAGGAGCTCGTGTTTCTAGACGTTCATCGTGAACACGTTGCATGAGATGGTTAGGTTGAGCAGCTATTCTTAACATTTCTTTGGCTTCGTCAGCGTTGTAGCCAGGCATAGTTATTGGTAGATGGAAGGCATTCAATAGTGCACAGGCTATCCTGACTAGGTCTCCTAAATGCACACAGTTGTGAGATTCCACTCGATGGGCGAAAAATTTGAAGACACTTTTCAAATGACCATTTCTCGCTTCCACAACCCATCGGCTTTTGGTGATCAGTCTATTATTGTTCGCCTCTTCTGTAGGTAACTGGTCTCGCGTGGCTCTTCCTCTCACAATATTTGGTATTTTAGCTCGTATTCCTAATCTCTGAAGTGTCGGGATTGATTCGCGGTAACCGTAGTCTACGATGACGATGTCGCCCTCTTGAATCCACTGACCAAATCCACGAATATCACGCTGGAGTTCATCAATTAAGATTTTTGCATCGTTGTTCTTTGAATCTGAGAAATACGGGCCGTGGACATCGAAAATATAACCATCTGGTGCAACTATCATGATTGGCTTCACAAGATGGTAGCTCTTGTGCATGCAATAACTTTGGCGGGCAATTCTAAAGTTAGAGCTAGTGGCTATTTCAATGTATGTGCCATCAATGCACAATATGGCCTGAGGTTTTTCCGGGTTAGGGTTGTACAGTTGGTTGGCAAAATCTGATACATGTCGATGAATAAATTGTTGTCGGGTCATACTGTCGGGGCCCAGATTAGTTCTTACAAATGCCCTCATAAGTGATTCTCTAACCTTATTCACCGCCAAGCTGACTGCTTGTCGTGTCGAGTAGTGGAATATTGCTTTCAAGAATTCGTCAGGTATTCCTTGCCTAAGCTTACAAAGGAACATGATCAAGTCGATTTTATATACTATTCTATCATGTCCAGAAACT